GTCTGCCAGGGCTGGTAATTGGTCAGGATGTTGCTGTCACTCATGTTAAATTTTATGCTATGACTTCAAATAAAAGGTGGGCAGTAAGGTGAGGCACACTGTAAAGTTACTCCCAGAAATATCTTTGGTTTTGAATCAATCCATCACTGATGAGGTTTTTTTCACTTTCATTAAGTTGTTGAATTTGTTCCTCCTAACATTTTAATCCCAAGTAAGATGTTAAAATACAATATGAAAGGAGCACATTCCTAGCTCCCACCCAAACCCGTCAGCGTTCCTTATATGAAGGGAAACACCGCAGGGCAGGGCCCAGGCGGTCCAGAGGCCTCCCGAGGCGAGGCGGGCAGAGAGACCCGCACGGCTTCCAGCGAGGCGACAGGAAAATGCACGGCGGCCGCAAGACCCTCCCACTCAGTGCCCATCTGAGTGACAGATAAAACTGCAGAGAAAGTCTCCCACAAACAAACAAACACCAACAGAGGAGACCTTTTCATCAGAAACATTCAGATGTCTGCATGGACTCAGGTTCAAACACACATGAACATATAATATGTGTGTGAGACAGGGAAATCCTCTAAATGTGATAACCATTTCACATCTTATGTGATAAACATAAGTTAGAGCTCCAAGATAAAAGTCGCCTTCCCACTAGAACAGCTGCTCTGTCAGAGCCATTGACACGCGCAGACCCCGTGCTGATGAGGGGCGGGGACGGCTAGGACGGGCCCACAGACAGGAACCCACAAGGGAAGGAGAGAAAGGCTCTTTAGGGACCCGGTCAGCCCCCCAGGCCAGAAATGTCCTGTCTGAATTAACATGGTGGTTTAATTAAAAACTACGTAGAGAATTCTGCTTAATTTGACTTTCAATTCCAACTCTGCATCCGCCTGTGGCGAGTGGCCAATTTCCGCATCTCGGCACTGTGCACGGGGCTGCTTTACAATCGTGCCCAGGGGAACCGATGGGGAGGGCCACAGCCGGCAGGGACGCCGCAGACCGAGACACAGTAAAACGCACCAGGAGGGTGGCCGAGAAATATAAAGCGACTGTAACTCAGCCATATTACAAGTTTGTCATTACTCAAGTTACTGTGCCGGTCTACCAATTAGAGGTGTTTTCTAAGCTCTCTTCAATGTCGCTGGGACCTGATGTGTCAAACGTCACCGGTGAGCAAAGAGCTTCAAAGGCATCGACAGAAATGCATGCACTGGCCAGCCGCCGGAGCATGTCAGTGACTCGAGGAGACCACAGCCAGTGACTGCACCCCCACAGCACTGGGCCCAGAACGCCGAGGCCGCACCCCCACAGGGCTGGGCCCAGAACAACACAGCCAGTGGCTGCACCCCCACAGTGCTGGGCCCAGAACAACACAGCCAGTGGCTGCACCCCCACAGCGCCGGGCCCAGAACAGCTCAGCTCACCAGGCGGCGGCCTTCCCGGAAAGGCAGACTGAGGCTGTGCACACACACACTCACCTGGGCAGCGCTAATAAGCTTACAACTTCCCTGTAACTGACTATGAACCGAGATAATATGAATGTTAAAATAATGGGTCATGATCGCCTTCCCCAGAAAGCTTCCCAAACACTAGTGCAGCCTGGCACCTGGTCTGGGATCAAAATGGAACCTTAAAACTCCGAGTGCGGGGACAGTGAGGAGCCGGCTCTCTCAGCGGCTCCGGATGACTCCCGGCACCACTGGCCCTTCCCGGGACACGCGCTCGTCAGCGCAGGAGCTCTGGAGGACGCGAGGACGGCTGGCGGCCAGGGGCTGGTCCCGGGGTGCAGCCTTCGCTGTACATGCGGCCTCCTCCCATGGGGCCTGTAAACAGGGCCACTCCCCTCAGGGAACCTCAGCCTGGGCACCTCACCCCTGCACCCGGCCTTCCCAGCGCACAGGCTCCGCAGCCTCCATTCACTGGCACCTCCTCCCTCAGAGGCCCCCAGGACCCGCTCTCTGGTTTGTTCCTACAGCCTCCCTCATTCCACACTGTCTAGTCCATCAACAGCAGCATCTTGAGTGCTGCCTCCTCGCCGTCCTTTAAAACTCCTGGCTGTTTGGGCATTAGTTGGGCAGCTGGGTCAACGTTACCCACACGCACTCATTCACCCCTTGCAATCCCAAGAGAAGCTGGGGAGCCAGAGGGACTTGACGACAGTAACAGAGTGAATGTTCTTTCCCTCGTGTAGAGAGAAACTGGAAGCACATAACTTAGAGGAGAGACTGTTGTACGGGGCGGGGGCGCTGGGAAGAGATCCACCAAAGAACTCTTGTGCGTATATTCAAAACCCGAGACACAGATAACTGTACGGTGAAGGCATGGGGGCGCAGATAGGGTTAGTGGGGGAATGGGGACATCTGTAATACTTTCAACAATATAAATTTTTAAAAAGAAAGAGGCACAACGGAGGGGGGAGGTGCTTCCCTCTCCCCACATCCCTCCTCCACACTGACATACAAACAACACACTTTGGGGCTCAGTGGTTTTCCTTTGACTAAGAGAATAGTGACATGTCATGGTTTTTGTGTCTGGGTTTGTTTTTTTAATTCTTGAGATAGTAACTAATTCAGCTCCAATAAATCAAGCCAAGTCCCTTTCTACAATAGTTGGTTAGCTCACAAGGGGGAAATAATTGGGAGGCAATTATTCGCAGTTTTTCAAAATTATTTAATAACTAGACTTTTATAAAAAGCATAAAAGTAGGTACACCTATGAGACCGAATGTGAAACTCTTTAACACTGAGCGTCCCAGGCAGACAGGAAGGAGAGCTCTGCACGTGTACGCAAACACCGACAGCGACAACAGGGACATGTGCCCAGACGCTATGTGATGGGCCAGGGGTGAGACATCTTCATATGCCGGTGCCTCCACCACATGCATTTCACCTTCCCTTAGTGACTTAGATAAAACAGTAGTGCAAAAATCCTTCACAGAAATCCCATGCCCACTCCCTGCCGTCTCCCCATAAACCACAACCACGCGGCGGCGGACTCGGCTGCTCACCAGCCTCCGCACCAGCCATTCCCGCTCAGGCCTGGGGTGCCCTAGGCCAACACCGCCTCCTCCTGCTCCGCGCGGGCCCAGCTCCAGAGCAGGCGGCCTCTGTGCCTCCCGCAGGGAACCAGGACCTGCTCCTCTGCGCCTCCGGTAGTTACTCACCTCCTGACTCCCCGGGGCACCCTTCCAGGCAGGAGCCCATCTCTCCTCTGTCCCTGGCAAGCTCCTACATTAGCAGCACAATTACTACCTAGTACACGCTTAGTAAAACTGTCAGGTGAATGAATATCCATCAAAGGCTCCCAAATTCTACGGAACTGGTTTTTCAACTATCTCCCACAACTTCATTTCTTGTCCGTGCTCATTCTTCCAACCCTCCTGAACGCAATAGTTTACAAGCCCTTCTAGAATACCGGGGGTGGGCCAGGAGCACGCTTTACCCAGTCCTTGCACACACAGCACCTGCCCCGAGGTGACCCCCACCGACCTCCCCCATTCATCCAGCCTCTCCCCCCCATCCCGCCGGCCTCTCCCCGCATCCCGCCGGCCTCTCCCCCCCATCCCGTTGGCCTCCCCCACCCATCCCGCTGGCCCTGGCCGGCTCCCACCTGTTGGCCCTTACTGTGCTACCATACTGCTGGCTGCGAACAACACAAACACTTCAGAAGCTCAGCAGCAACCGCTGGGCTTGGTATGAGTTCAGCAACTGCACGTATGTGCTTCGTGGACAATTTAATAACATTTACTATCGCTGGGCCTCAGATGTCACCTTACAAAAGAAAGGCTTGAACGAAATCCCTTTCAGCAACAACACTTCTTATAATTTCTTCAAGAAATTATAACAAAGAGCTTTTTAAACTATGTAATTTTTCACATTATATAGATAACTTAGGTAAATTTAAATGCATCATAATAAAAAAACAACTCCAATAAGTAAAAGCCAGTGATGCCCAGCTGGTGTGGCTCAGTGGCTAAGCGCTGGCTTAAGAACCAGTTCTAGAAACCAGAGAGGTGGGCCCACCGACACCCCCACCTCACCCTCAGGGGCTCTCCCGGGCCCTCTGGTGTGCAGGCCCAAAACGTGCTGAACTTGACGTGTACAAGAGTAGCCAAATGCCAGCAAAACATTCTCATTCCTAAGAACCCACAGAGAGTGGCATGACACAAAAAGTACATGGCTTACAACTTGCCAAGCCAAGTTCATTTGTGTGACGTTGCAGTGCTGCTCAGCAAGGACACAGCACGCCTCCCCCGCATGTTGCATGAAGAGACTAGCAATGAGAAGGCATACTGTGTCGGTAAATAAACTGTAACACTGAAGCTCATTTTGTCAAGTTTAAAAGTCACCCAAAAAGTACTAGCTACTTAAATCTTTGCATTATATTCAAAAAATGTATAGCAAAGAGCTCTATAAGTTAAGAGACTACAAGTAAAAAATATTCCTCTCACTTTTAAAATGCCATATCCAAGGACCGCTGCAGTCCTTACCACTGAGAAAGTCTAACTGAGGTGCTCTTGCGAAGTCTCCATTGGGCCCACTCCCACCTCCCACTCCCAGCAGCAGCACAGCCCCTTGGGAAGCTGACTGTCTGATGGAGCATGTCTAATGCTCTAACAGGCTACACCCTGAACACCCTGGATGTGAAATAATGTACACCAAGATACACCCTAAGCTCCTAGAGCTTGCTCCATGCTTTAAACAAAGGAGAGGAGAGAGCCTGCGAGCAGCAGCTGCGCGGACGTCCCCTCCACATAGCTCATCCACCCGGCAGCACGCTCCCAGGAGCCTGGAAGGTCAAAGACGCTCTGCTCCCTGCGGACTCAGTCCGTTCATAAGCAGTGTGACTAAGAGACTGTTAATAGTAATAGTAACAAGATATTGTTATTATTAAACTTTTACATCCCCATCAAATGGCTGTTTAAGCCAACTTCTTATAGTTCAACATGAATGGTATTTATTTCTCCATGTAACTAATTTAATTCCAAAACACAGATCACTCACCTTTTTCAGGCCAGCAAAACCTTCTGATTCCAGGAAGAAAAAGGCAAAGGGCATCAAGACAAACAAACAAAGGTTGGAGAAGAGAGAAGCGAGGTTCCACAGACCTAGAAAGCAATCCAGAAGACAGCCAGGTCAGGTCCGGGCACGCTCGGCAGAGAAATGGCCATGCCACACTGTGGCATTAGAGTACTGTGCTTTCTAAAGGAAAATAAACATAAGCTTGAAGAGTGGCCTAACAAATGACCTAACCTTAGAATCAGAAAGTAATTACCTATTTAAATTTTGTGCAACTTTGTAACATGTACCTACTGGTAAAAGCCAAGATAGGAATTAATGTTTCCTCACACCCTGAAATACAGTCACTACAATATGACATGTGTAGAGACCCACAGACATGGTCATGCTGGCTTCTTTAGACATATTGGCACCTGAATATTTACATTAGAGCCACTAGCATTTATGGAGTACTTAATAAATTCCAGGTACTCTACTAAACATTTTACACGCATAATCTCATTTAATTTAAGCCTCATAAAAACCCTAAAAGTAATAATTAGCATTGATTGAGCCTTTATGTGCCAAGCACTATTCTAAGTGGTGAGATATGATGAGAACTCATTCACTTGTCCCAGCAGCCGCCCGACAGCGGTGGAGGAGGCACCAGACGGGCCGCGGAGCACAGCCAGCTGCGGCAGCGCCACCCTGGGATTTTTAAGAAGCACCACACCGCAGGTGTTTTAGTGACCAACTCCAAGTGGGAAAGAGAGGGGAAGAGAAGCTCACACAGCCTTTTCCCTTTCTCACATATACCACACTCTTTTAGAAAACCACTGTAAAAAGCAACTAAAAATAAATTTGGAAAAAGAGAACTTTAGGTGTGTCCTTGAGACAGAACTTGGCCCAACATTTCCTATTTTTTAAAGGTAAAAAACTGAGCCCCAGCTGGTCTGGCTTAGTGGATAGAACGTCGGCCTACAGACTGAGGGTTCCGGGTTTGATTCCAGTCAAGGGCACATGCCCGGGTTGCAGGCTTGATCCAAGAGTAAGAGACATTAAGGAGGCAGTTGATCAATGATTCTCTCTCGTCACTGATGTTTCTCTCTCTCTCCCTCTCCCTTCTCCTCTGAAATAAATCTATAATAATAAAAGAGTAATATGCTACTTAAACTGGACGTCCTTCTGGATATCCTCCCGGAAGACCTTTCAGGCCAGGCCTGGGCTGCAAGAGCTGAGGCAAGCCGCCACAGCTGTAAGGGCCAAGCCCTTTGCATGAACTTTGTGCATCGGGTCTTCAGTAATAAAAAAGAAAATTAAATAAGGTAAAAAACTGACTTTCAAAATGATGGCTATAATCTTTATAAAATTTGCAAAATCCAGAGTCAAAGATAAAAATTACGCTACGATTAGAAGTCAGGGCTTTGGAAGCGGGCACCTGCTTTCTTTCCACCCGGATTTCCGAGGCGCGGACGCCGGGCTCCGGGGACACGGCCACTAGTGAGCAGAATAAACCTCTGCGGTTGCAGCTCTCAATCCAGGCGCCAGACCCGGCACGTGAGTTCTCAGGGGACCAAGGTGGTGGTAACAAATTAACATCCTGAGTCTTGCCGCCCTCACCCCCTCGGAACAGCATGGAGGCCAACAAAGAGAGCCCATGTGCCCCGTGGGGTCTAGAGTGAGGCTGGCGGCCGCTGATCTAGAGACTGGTCTTCAATAGGTAAGGGGACAGAATTTAAAAATTCAACTTACAGTTTCTTATTCAAAAATGTAGGCAAATTTAATGAAATTAACAACTTAGCTTAGCAGGAACTAAAATGTTGCACAAATTTTGGGGGGAAACATCTTACATCTTTCATTGGAAAAACTTTAATTTGAACTTTTTAAAATAAAAATTGGCTGAAACCGGTTTGGCTCAGCGGCAGAGCGTCGGTCTGTGGACTGAAAGGTCCCAGGTTTGATTCTGGTCCAGGGCATGTACATTGGTTGCGGGGATATCCCCGGTGGGGCGGGTAGAGAGGGCGGCTGGTCGATGTTTCTCTCTCATCAATGTTTCTAGCTTTCTCTCTCTCTCCCTTCCTCTCTGTAAAAAAATCAATAAAATATATTTTAAATAAATAAATAAATAAAGAAATAAAGAAATAAATAAAAATTGTTCTAAAGTACTTTTCTACTTTCCAAACTTTCAACACCATCACCCTTTTCTTCATTCAAAGGGGTTATCATCACAGTCAATTGTTTTGATGCATTAATAACTGGAAGGGCTCAAAGGACGGTGGCTCAATGCCCCACCTGGAGTGTCAGACACCTGGGTTCCAGCCTCACCAGCATGTCCATGTGCCAGACCCAATGAGCCACAGGTTTTTACCTATAAAACAAGGCGAGGATCCTGCCTAAGGTGGTGTTGAGAACTAAGTGAAATAATGCACGTAGGACAATCAGCACACCTGTCACACACAAAAGCACTTCGTGACTTGCTGCTTTTAGTAACAGCCACATCCCCAGAGGTGCTAACAGGCGGGATGACTTCCCTACTCTCTCCTGCCAGGTGTATCGGCTCTTGCTTTTTGTCACCAGCAATTTGCACATGTCCAACAACCATCTCCCCTCCCCCAAGAGATGCTGGGGATATGCACCATCTATACACACGTGCCTAAGAATCAATGGGCCTCAATCAGAGCTGTGCTCTCCAGGTCAAGTTCACAAACTTCAGTGCATGGTCTTTGTTCCCTACTTTGCTCAACAGCACTTGACCTCCCTTCATAGGGTTTCCAAGTAAGTTACTACCAGATCTGAAGTCCAATGATATTGAGCATTAGACGGTTCACATAGCACATTGTATTCTTTGGGCTGGAGAACCGTGACTGCTTTATGTTGCTTTGGGTAGGTCTGGTGGAAAACAGAGAAACGGTGGTTTTAAATCATTTGTGCAGAAGAGATAAAAGTCAGTGTATTCTATGTCTTGGTAAGTCCCTAGCATCTCAGGCATGTTCCAGATGCTTTGGGCATCGCACCAAAATCTTCCTCTAGTTTACAGATGGCCTTCAAGCTCAGAACACGCCTTTGCCCACAGCTAGAAACGGCAGCCACTCTTCCCAAGGTGCTTTCCCATGTTAGCAGCATCAGCACCCATTTTATTTTTTTTATAAATCTTTATTGTTCATATTATTACAAAAGTTCCTCATTTTTTCCCCCTCCACTAGGTTCCCACCCCACCCTCTGCCCTTTCCCCACCCCCCATTGTCCTCATCCATAGGTGCACAGTTTATGTTCAGTCTCTTCCCACACCCCCCACTCCTCTTTTCCCTGAGAATCATGAGTCCACTCCCCTTCCATACCTCTGATTCTATTATATTCAACAGTTAATATTGTTCATCGGGTTTTTTTTAATTCCCTTGGTTTTTAGATTCACTTGTTGATAGTTATGTATTTGTTGATCATAATTTTTATCTTTATCTTCTTCCTCTTCCTAAATAACCCCCTTCAGCAATTCATATAATTCTGGTTTGGCGGTGATGAACTCCTTTAGCTTTTTCTTGTCTGTGAAGCTCTTTATCTGGCCTTCAATTCTGAGTGATAGCTTTGCTGGGTAGAGTATTTTTGGCTGTAGGTTCTTGCTATTCATCACCTTGAATATTTCTTGCCATTCCCGTCTGGCCTGCATGGTTTCTGTTGAGAAATCAGCTGACAATTGTATGGGTGCTCCTTTATAGGTAACTACCTGCTTTTCTCTTGCTGCTTTTAATATTCTCTCTTTGTCTTTTGCTCTTGGAATTTTCATTATGATGTGTCTTGGTGTGGTCCTCTTTGGGTTCCTTTTGTTTGGGGTTCTATGCGCTTCCTGGACTTGTAAGTCTATTTCTTTCACCAGGTGGGGGAAGTTTTCTTCCAATATGTTTTCAGTATCTTGCTCTCTCTCTTCTTCTGGGACCCCCATAATTCTGATGTTGGTTTGCTTGAAGTTGTCCCAGAGGTTTCTTACACTATCTTCAACTTTCTGGATTCTCTTGTCTTCTTGCTTCTGCAGAGGAGTGTCCTCTGGCTCTTTGTGTTCCAAATCTTTGACTTGATTCTTGTGATCTTCCATTATGTTTTTAGGACTCTGTATAATATTTTTTATTTCAGACAATGTATTCTTTATTTCTAGTTGATCCCTCTTCATATCCTCATAGGTCTCGTTTATTTTATCTGCCTTTTCTAGGAAATTCTTGAAAAACCTTATAACCGTGGTTTTGAACTCTATATCCAGTCACTTTTTGTCCTCCATTTCTTTCGTTTGTGATCTGTTTCCTTGTCTCAGCATTTTCACAGCTTCCCTGAGTTGGTAGGGTGGCTTTGTGTGTTAAGGTGTCCTATATGGTTCAGTGGGTCAGCCTCCCAGTTACCTGAGGTAGACACTGTTGGAGCACTCCTTTGTGGACTGTGTGTACAGCCTTTTGTAGTTAAGTCTTAATTGTCGTTGGTATCACTGGGAGGAACTGACTTCCAGGCCAATTGGCTATGAGTATCAGCTGTGTCTATGCCAGGAAACAGCCTTATTCAAAAGCCTCTGTGCTCAGCTTGGATGGGATGGAGTTTCAGGATGGAGCCTATAGCCTTGGCTTCCTGTCAACCTCACCCTATGAGGTTCCTGAGTCTCAGTGTTCCTCTGTGTCCTTTGGTACTCGCTGCTTTGGTACTCACTGCAAGCACCTCTGAGAGAAAGGTGCCCTCGAGTTTCACCCGCTACCAGACAGCCTAGTCTCTCCCCCAATGAGCCCGGAACTAGGGTTCAGTGCAATTGATAGTAGGGTTGGAAGTGGGGTTCAGTGCAGTCCAGAGCTTTTGTCTCCTTCCCACTAGGGCAATCCAGCAGCCTTATAGCCCAGATCTCTCTGTATGAGCTTGGGTCCCCAAGGTCTGGTCTAGAACTTGGGTTCAGTGCAGTCGGAACTGAGGCTCAGCAAAGTTTGGAGCTTTTGTCTCCTTCCCGCTAGGGCAATCCAGTGGCACAGTCAACAGTCCCTCCTCTGCGCACTACGTGCATGACTCAGGGATTCTGCCTTTCGCCACTCCCCTGAGTTTCCGCCTTACAGCCTAGATCTCTCTGTATGAGCCTGGGTTCCCAGGG